CCCAAATTCCGATTTCGAACTCCGAATTTATAGTGGAATCACTCGATGACCCAAATTGCAGTTGGGTTGACTAGTTGCGATTTCGATATTCCATTTTATTGCGTACTATGATAAGAGAATTCTACTATTTTTACCTCGCAATGACGCGTATTGATAATTAACCCTAGATATACACACTGGGGTCCCCGGGACCCCAGCGAAACTTTCTCGGTTTAGCATTTCTGAAATTGGAAGGGGAGGGGTTTGGGATATTGACGTAAAAAAAGTTATTTGGGATCTTCTCAGTAGGAAGGACGTGTTGACGCGCGGCAATTGTCGCTCAATAGCCGAGCAATGAACAGTTAAAGTGAGCGTGGGGTCCACGGGACTGCTTGCAGTTTTGTTAAAAAATTAAAATATCGGATCGCCAAATTTTTTTATTACTATATTTCAAGTATGCCCTTTCAGAATTTTCAAGGATATTTCAAATCGGTCTATAAACAAAAAAAATAGAATTTTTTGAAAAAAGGTGCTAAATCGAGATTTTTTCGCGTTTTTAAACTTTCCTTTTTCTTTGAACCCGTATATCTTGGAGTTCCTTAATTCTATCGACTTTTAAACATTATGGGCTTGTTTTTTCGGGTCGATTCTCTATCGATTGAAAAAAAATTAATTGAAATATGTCCATTTTTACTAGAGTTACAGTAATAAATATGGATGGGGTCCCCGGGACACCAGTATGTATATGACATCGTCAAAAAAACTGTGTATATCTAGGGTCAATCCCTAGCTGGCAATAGCTGGATCACTCGAGACTCGATGGATATTATTAGTTCTCGAAGATTACAAGAAAAGGACACTTTTGCTGAATCCAGATCTGAAAATAATTTTTGTTCAATAATCAAAATAATTTCGTGCGAAAGTCAAAATGATTGCTAGAATATCAAAACGTTTTATAGAAATGCTTATTAGTTTTAACATTCCCATAAATTATTTCGATGATTTAATAAAAAATTATTTTCAGATCTGTTTTTAGCAAAATTTTTAGACCTTTCAACAAAATCGTTCTTTCTGTGTACTCGTCCCCTCTCCTCTTTCACATCTCGCAAAAGTGTAAAAAATCAAACTCAAGAACTGTTATTTCTTTTCCTTTTTTTCGTTTACTGTTTTATGTGTACTATATTTATATGTGACGCGACTCACTATTATAGTCAATAGAATGTGGATCAAGAATGACCTAGCCACAGTCTCTCGCGTAAAAGATGATAATAATTGCGTCAGCTGTAATTGTGATAGCTTAGTAATCTTAAAACATTTCGACTTTTAATGAAGCGAAATCGCACTCCAGCTTTAATTTTGTTTCTTCTGACAATATTTTTTTTAGCAGTTTTCTGATACTTTCACGACTTTATGTACGAATTTTTTTGTTAACTTGGTTAACGGACTGGTTGGATCCGATGGGTATTCGTTAGCTTTCAAAGATTACTCGTACCTTTTTACAAGGGTTGTAAAAAATCTAATACTCGAAACTGCTACTTTTTACTGCCGTTTTATATGTATACTATATTTATACACGACCTTTTGATTACCCAATAGAATATAGATCAAGAATGGATCCACGATCCTCCGAAGCGTGTCTTCCGAGGGTTTTTCAATGGTAAAAAATTTGTCATGATTACAGTTGCACTTTAAAAAAACAAAAGATACACAGTATTTAGCGCTAATCCACGTTGATTAAAATGTATAGCTGTTAAAGCGTAATCTACGTAGTAACGCGAGGGTTAAACAGCGTAACATCGACACACAACGGTGCTCGAGGGTGTGCGCGCGTGCGCTCGGTTGCGAGCTTCGTCGCGTACACATTCATCCTGATCCGGGGATACAGGAAGCTCGGTCGGCACTCTAATTCCATAGAGTATCCCCGGGGAGCGGCGGCGAGGAAAATGGATTACCCGACACCGCCGCCCGCGCCGCCGGTCCGACGCAGCCGCCTCGTTCCTTATTCAAAATAATACGAGGCACAGGTATTACCTGTACCTACCGTATCCACGAGACGCGAGTCTCTCGACCGGAGGAGACTCGCCATTCCGACTGCGCCATTCCGCACTTTCGACCGCGTATATACACAGTCGGCGTAGTTTTTGTTAATCAAAGCCGCGCAAAAGCGTCGCCCCATTTCTCGGACCGCCCGAAACGGCGCGGCGCGGCGTGTGATAATTCTCTCACCCGCGACGCGTTACGGACAGCCAGTTAAAATCGATGAGATCGCGAGGGGGATCGAAATTCATCAACGGAGGAAGAAGTAAGAACGTGCGAGCGTGTTCGGGAGATAAATGGTAACAGGTGGTATCCGAGCGTACCGAGTGTAATAAGTTTTCACGTAGACTAAATGCGAACCTATAGGGGGTCTGCACGGGTCCGGCTTTTACGGCCCACTATTTTTCATTGCCGCTTTTCCTCTCGTTCGCCCAAGTCTCGAATAAGTACAATGCGACGCGAATTATTGTTTCCTTTCTTGTTCCCGTTAAATTACACGCGTTTCTTCATTTTTCCACTCTGTATTTGTCTTTGTGTTTCCTTCCCTCAGAGGTCTTTATGAAAAAATTGTAGAATAATTGACTTTTGACAAGAAAGTTCTTCGTATTATAATAAAATTATCTCGAACAATTTTATATTAATATAAAGTTTGAAATTTTCCTGATTTTTCTGATCGGAAACAATTTTTATCACTTATTCTTAAGGCAGATTGGCAAATAAATGTGTAAATTTGGAGGTAAAATCTGTGAAAAAAGTCTTTGTGGTATCTTATTTTAAACTGAAAGTTTCCCCAGTACATAATCTCCCTTATCGTCCTTGCGGCTTGCGAGAGATTATGGCAATTTTACTTGAGCGACAAAGCGCTTATTCCAATCCCAAGGCCTAGAAAAGTTAGTCCCTCGAAAGGACTTTTTTAATTAAAGTTAGAAATAAAAGTGTCGAGAAAACGAAACGCCACATCTAAAGTTCCCATCAGAGCGGGACTTGGCCCATAATCTTTTTTTGGCTCATGAAATCATTCTTCGTAATCTAACCAGTTGTCCGACTTTTCATTATTCACTTTTGTATATTTCGAATATCCTTGACATATATTGTTTTGGATCGCATAATGATGGCCTTAGAACTTTGTTTAAAACAGTTTAATTAATTTAGAGATCAAAAAAGTTTATAAATGTAAAAAGTTTGACAATTTCTATTTTTAATTACATTTTTTTCGTTAAAGTACGATATATACGAAAGAAAAAACTTACTTAAATGTAAATGGCAATATGTTAAGTCTACAATACTCTCGTATGTGTCTTATAGTCATAGAAAAGAATAAAATATGTAATTGTATGCTATTATATGTTTATTGTTATGAGGAGACCTTAGATTACATATTTTATAATATATTGTTTCAAAAAATTAGATATAGTCTGCCTATTGTTTCTTTCTTTTTAAGTTAATAATTGAAAGTCATTTGTGTTTTTTAAAGATTTAAATTATAAATATTTTGTCAGTAAAGGTGTGAAATGTATGAAAATCTTGTATTAGGGTAACTCTGGTACATGGAAAGAAGAATTTTGCTGAATCCAGATCTGAAAATAATTTTTGTTTAATAATCAAAATAATTTTGTGCGAAAGTCAAAATGATTGCTAGAATATCAAAATGTTTTATAGCAATGCTTATCAATTTTAACATTCTAAGAAATTATTTTGATAATTCAACAAAAAATTATCTTCAGATCTGTATTTAGCCAAATTTTTAGACCTTTCAACAAAATCGTTCTTTCCGCGAATAAATGTATTACAAGAAATTTGTTCACTTGAAACGTCATTAATTAATACAACAGTAACAAGCAAATGTATGTATTTTTATTAACAAAAAAGTTATAGCACATGGAAACAATTTTGCTGAATCCAGATCTAAAAATAATTTTTGTTTGTATATACGCTGCGCGAGCTGCGTATTTATGCCGCAGAAGTCAGAAAAAATAGAAAAAGTGAAAGTAATTTTCTCGCAACCACTCTGTTACATACCTTTATGTTATATTAGTATTGTGTTATGATTTCAGTTTTTTACTGTTAATATTTATAAAATTATTGTAAGTTAAATTGATTTATCACTGTAATAAGTAACGCAATCATAAGTTATAATCTACATAAAATGATTATTGTAGGAAATATAAAAGGCTTTGTGATTATTTCGTGGTACATATAAGTGTAGAGGAATTGTAAAGGA